GCCTCCATTTATACACTAACAGAATAGGGAGAGCTTGGCTGTCCTTGCACATGGCCAGCTCCTTCTCCACATGTTGCAACTTCTTTCACATGGCCAACACATGAGAAAAGATCACCTTTGTGCATTTGTAGGTTGGCAAGCTTGTGCACTCACATGTGAAGGGAATCACCCCTCACATGGGATGATATCCCACAGTATTGAGATCATCTATCTCCTCTGCAACTATTGTTCTACATGTCCACATACCATTAGTACCTTCTCGTATACAGTAGCTCCAACAGCCACAGTATTTCCCTGAGCCTGTACTGGTTGCCAAATCATCTATCCGTCGATGAATGGTCTTCTCTTTTGATTGAACCAGATCCTCCGATCACCTCAACAACCAGGAAAGTTCCCAGGAAAGACTGGTGGGGTCACAATCGGTCCCACTTAAGAACCAGTCTCCTTAGACAGTGTCTTTTTGACAGAACTTTCCTAGACCTTTGAGATAATCATGTCTGCAATCCTCTGATCGCCCCTGACCAATCCTGATCTCCCTCGATCTGCCATTTGATCAAGCCTGATCTCCTCTGGTCTTCAATGATTTATCTCAATCTGTATCTGGTTGTCCAATCGGGTCAGAATCTGCCCATTCTAACCTCTTCAGTGAATCCGCAGCGTTCCACAATATCCGGCAACCTTCCTTCGAGTATTGAATATGACAAACTCCCATGTTTTGACAATCTTTCCAAACCGTTCAGAATTTCACTATTCTGACCTCGCGGTTGCGTCCGGAGCGGTCCGTTTAGCTAGAACCAATCTTTGCTGCATTTTCGGGGACCTCACTGAAGACTATCCCCGAAAGTTGGGCCACACCACAATTTTCTGAAAATTCTGGGCCAAATTGCAATTTTCAGAAGTTCAGGGAATATTTCGTGTACTAACAGAATATTCCGTCCACTGCCCCTGACGCTGTCTGCCACTTTAATCTGCCTTCTTTTTACAGAAACTCCGTCTTCAAAATCTGACTGTACGGATGTGTCCGGAATACTCCAAATAGTCGGAAACCTCTATTGGATCACCAAAAACGGACCTCAAATGGCTTCGATCTAGCCAAAACATTTTGTACGCCTCAGATCTGTGGCTGTACCTTCGCCGCAAAGCACTGGATCCTTCCCTGCCTCTGGTTGACTGGTCAACACCACTGCTGAGGTGGCAGACACGTGGCACACCTTTGCTAACGTGTCGCCACGTGTTGACGACGTAGCACGCTGACGCGGCCTGCGCGTGTTCCAGGCGCGTGGTGGACACGCGCTGCCTGCCCACTCGTCTTCTTCCTTCAGCCGCGCGTGGGGCGCGTGCACGAGACTGGGCCAACGCGCCGACTCTCTTCACGGCGCGTGGGGGCGCGTGCAGCGACTGGGACCCACACGCCTTCTTCAGGAAGCGCGTGAGAGCGCGTGGGAACTCCTCTGGGTGTCTGCTTTATATGGTTGGACTCCTCTTCTCGAGCCCTTGCTCCTGGTGTGCTCAAAACCTGATTTCGAGCAACTTGATTTCTGGGCAGTTTCAAACAACACGCTGTTTTTGTTCCGAAACGCCACCAACGAGGCTCTGATACCACTTGTTGGGATCTGGGATCCCGCCCAAGACCTTATAGAAATTATTCCATGCAGAAAAACACACCCACACTCAAGGAGACACAATATTTAACGTGGTTCGGCCTCAATGCCTACGTCCACGGGAGAGTAGCCGGTTATCACTATAACAATGGAGATATTTACAGAAAGATTATAATAGAGGAGGAGCTCACACTCTCCTCACTCACACACTCACCCGTCTCCCTCGCTCACACCGAGGGAGACGGTCTCTCCGCCTCACATATCTCACTCTCTGTGGCTTGCTTTGCTCTCTCTCAAACCCTTCCCTCAGCCTCCATTTATACACTACAGAAGAGGTGGATGGAGGGGCTGGCCAGCACATGGCCAGCTATCTTGTGTGTTGGCTTCACATGGCCAGCTCATGTGTGTTGGCTTCCTAACATGGCCAACCTTGCAACACATGGAGGATCACCCCTCACATGGGGTGATGATATCCCACAACAACTCTCATTGGGGATTCTCTAAGATTTTTATTTTTTATTTTTATTTTTTTTTTAAAGATTGGAAGATCTTACTATAATGGCGCTCAAGTCAAAAATTCAGTTTTAAACTTTGTTTGATAAAAGGTCCAGCGCTGAAATAGTTTGTCGATAAGGACGACTTTAGATTAAAAACCAGACTCTCTCACTCTATCTAGACACTGCTGCCGCTTCGACACAGCAGATTGTACTCCGACTGTCGCCGCCGAATCAACGGCGGTTTCCCCGCCGCAGACCATCATCATCGTCGCCTCTCTCTCTCTCTCTCTCTCTCTCTCTCCTCTCTCTCCTCTTCTCTTTTCATCTTCTCTATTCATACCAACGGTGGTGGAACCCCCACGATGGTATCCAGATCCATCGTCTGGATTTTTTAGAGATGTGAAGCCGTTCTTCCAGATCGTGATATCCAAATCCAGATACGTTGCCTCATCCTTTGTGGCTTTACATAGCTATTCAATCTCCTTCGGCGTTGTAGAAAATTATCTTCAAATTTGAATCGAGTGCTTCAGTTTCTCTCCTCTGCTTCTGCAATGGCGTCTTTCGATCAAGCTCCTCCTGGCGACTCCAAATCTGGAGAGAAGATCTTCAGGACCAAGTGCGCTTAGTGCCATTCCGTCGACAAAGGCGCTGGGACGGTCCCTCAGATCCGATCTGTGCCACACACACTCTCTCATCTCCGACCTCAACAACACAGATTTGAGATCCATGAAACAACAGATCAATCTGTTGTTTGTTGTTGTTGCTTGAATCTTTTTTTCTTCTTCTTCTTATTCTTCTTCTTCTTCTTCTTCTTCTTTTGGTGTTGTGTTGGATATGAAAATTTGAGACGTGTTTTACATATATATAAACATAGATCTGTTTATACAGACATAACATAGGTGATTTCCTCTTTATAAATATGCTCTGGAATTTTATTTTATTTTTGGATTATTATTATTGTTGTTGTTGATGATGATTTGCAATAGATCTGGATTATTATTATTGTTGTTGATGATGATGATTTGCAATAGATAGTTGGAGAGGGAGAGACCCAACCACTAATATAGGGAAAAAAAATTGAATATGAAGGGGTTGGTTTGGCTATCAAATTTGGTCAGTTATTTGAACAGATAAGGGGTTAGTTTGGCTATCAAATTTGGTCAGATATTTGAATAGGTAGGAGGAAAATTGAATCAGATAGATAGAATTTCAACAAATAATTTGAGCAAATAGAATTTTTGAAGAGATAAATTTCAACAGATAGCTTTTATTTGGACAAAAATTAAACAGATAAAAATTTTGACAAATAAGAATTCAACAAATGAAAAAGTTCAATAGATAAAAATAATTTGAACTGTACGCAAAAAAAATTAAACAGAAAATTTCAACAAATAAATATAAATTTGAACACATAGTCAATGAAAAGTTAAACAGATAAAAAAGTCAACGGGTAAAATTAGAAATAAAATGTAATGCCCTAAAAAATTACAGTATAAATCAATCATTCATAAATCCACAAACATAAGGAAAATATTATAGTTTCATTCATCAGAGTCTTCTATACAAAAGGTATTGCATGTTAACAACAAAGTAAATGTCTTACAAACTTACAGCTTTCCAAGTTGTCATTTGGTTACAACAAAAGAAGAGTTCTAAAACTATATACTCCCTCCGTCCCAAAATATTAGTCCCTTATTCCATTTTTCATTGTCCCAAAATATTAGTCCCTCTTTATAAATCAAGTACAAAAATAATATAAATTTCCTATTTTGTCCTTCTTTTAAATTAATAAACAATTTAAAAAGTACAATTATGACATTGATATTCCCAAAAAATGTACTATTAAAAGGGTAATTTTGGAAAACTAACTTTTTTCAAATACAATAAGTGTACTACCAAAAAAAGTTGAATTCCCCAAAAGGGACCAATATTTTGGGACGGAGGGAGTATAAAAAGCCATTGGCTTAAATATACATGTAAACTCAAGATGCTCCAAATCCACACTTTTTCGGATCAAAGTGAAGCCTACGTAATGCTCTAGCTTTCTTACAAAGAGACTAGGGTAGAGAGACCCAAGAACAAGATGTATTTGTAGAGAGAGAGAGAGTTTAGAGAGAGAGACAGCCGGATTTAGGGTTTGGAATGAAAGGAGATGAAAAAATGATGTGAAAACCCGCTGCTGCGAACTGATATATACGAGGCTCGCTCGAGCGAAGGACTTGTCGCTCAAGCGACCAGACACAACAAATACCTCGCTCGAGCGTAAAAAGCGTCACTCGAGCGAACAATGCAAAGTTTCAGGTCTGCCACTCACGCAGATGCACGCTCGAGCGTAAAAGTGCTCGCTTGAGTGAAGGAACACAAAACACAGGTCTCGCTCGAGCACAAGCTCGAGCGAAAGATACCAACTTTCAAGTCTTCACAGAAAAACAGACGCACGCTCGAGCGTAAGAGTTTTCGCTCAAGCAAAGAGGCAGACATCCAAGGCTCGCTCGAGCGCAAAAAACCTCGCTCGAGCGCAAAAAGTCTCGCTCGAGCGAAGAAGGAAAGACCTGGGCAGCAACTATTTGTTTCAACGCACAACCAACCTGTTCCAAACTCGCCCAACACATCCCAAAACTCAAATACAATGAATTAAAGGATAGGAACAAGACATAGACAACAACTAACAATCATAGAACTCGAGTCTGGAATACAATAAATGACGGGGAAAAGTCGGGATCGCTATACAAAATACCCTTCAAAACAAGTAAAATGACCTCTCACCAAAATATTCTGATGGTGCGGAAAGAACGTTATGCATTGTTTATCATTGGTCAACCATTAGGTTACCACTCATCTTGGCGCACAACAAGACGTAAGGGAAGTTAAAACAAGCTTAAGCACAGAAGAAGCTGTCCTGGTCCTGCTAGTACAAATGAGTTGTTTGTGCCTTTCCTTTAAATTGTATTTAGGGCAAACTTCACTTTACCCCCTTGTGGTTTGGGCCGGGTGCGGTTTACCCCCAACATTTGGAAATCATCACATAATCCCTATGTGGTTACTAAATTGAAATGCACACTAACTTCTGTTAATAGAAGTTGTAAATTGACAATTATATTCCCATCTTCATCTTTTTCTTCTCTCTATTTTCTTCATCTTCATCTTTTTCTTGATCATGTGTACATACATATACATTTATATACATACACAATCTCATATTCATCATTTTCTTGATCATATTTACATATATATACATATTTACATATCAAACCCAGTTAACTGCCCAAACTTTTTCTTGATCATATACAAATCCAATTCACGTATACAAATAGAGTGTATGCTTGTCTGCTAAACCATGGAGCAGATCGTGGAAGAAAAATGGAGTGTTTCAATGCTCAAAAGTCCAAAATAGCAGTTGAGCTAGCATATTTGTTCGTGGCCGCAAACCAGTACACCGTGCTCGCGATTTGGCTGGTTTATTCGGCATCTCTTAAGAGAGAGATCATTTTGTTGTAGACAAATCCAAACCCAGTTCACATATACAAATCCAAACCCATTTTTCTAATCATATATAAACCCAGTTCACATATACAAATTCAAATCCATTTTTTTTTTATTATGTGTACATACATACATATATATACATATCAGACCCAATCCATATATACATACAGCTTGCAAGTGAAATTAAAAAATGTCTAAAGAGTATATGCACACACATTATATGTATTACATATATAAAAATATCATATGCATGTCTGTATATAAATATATTTTTATATATACACTTGTATATACATATACTTGTATATACAATGAGTTTCAAACAAAATAGAGAGATAAAGATGGGAATCAACTTCACAAGGATTAACTAGTCTACAATGTGAAAATTGGACATTAAAAGAGAATCAAACAGTAGACAGGAAGATCTATATATAAAAAAAAATAAATAATAAAAAAAAATAGAGAGAAAGATCTGTATCCAAAAAAAAAAAAAATTGACAGAAAGAACAATGGCATTCTTTTGTAAATTTGAAGCTATGAAAAGGATATTTATGTCTTAAATAATGGCTTTCTCACCAAATCAGCTCGTCAATGTCACTGCCAATTAACTTAGATGGAAAGGTTAACGGTGCATTTTGATTCACAAACCACATGGGGGTTATGTGATGATTTTTGAATGTCAATGAGTAAACTGCACTTGACCCAAATCATAGGAAAATAAAGTGAAATTTGCTCTTAAATATTTATCACTAATTTTCGCTAATATAATTTACACTTAATTAAATTCAACAAGTACACATCAAACTTCACCAAAGTGGTGGCACATTGGTTTTCAAGACTTGCGTTTTGACACAACTCTCAACTAAGAAATTAAACTCTTCTTAAATATGTGGAGTAGTTATCTCTTGTCCTACCTTGGAGTTATCTCTTTCAAATACGTGGATCCTACTAGCAATTTTTTCCACGATACAACCAAAGTTAGTGGATTATGATTAATCATTTGACACAACTCTCAACTAACAAATTAAATTAAATATGTGTAGTTATCTGTAGTCATACCCTAAAGTTATCTCTTTTCAATACATGGATCCTACTAGGAATTTTTTCCGCAATACAATCAAAGTTAGCGGATTATGACTAATCATTTTTTTGATAAGATTTCACTTAAGATACAAGGGCATGTTTGGTGTAGATTGTATAAATTGAAAGTAGGCAATCAAAACCAGTTTCTTTCAATTTATTTAAGTTATTTTTGTCATAATTATTATGAGTAAAAGTTACACCAAACAATGTCACATATTTCAAAAAAAAAAAATTATAAATAATTCTACAAGTGCACCAAACATGGCCAACAAGAGAAATATACTAGTCAAATTATTGTCAAACTCACATAACACAAAATTGACACACAGACTTGTTTAATGGAGATTTTATGTTATTTTTCTTTAAAAAATGTCGTGACACTAAACTGATCCAATTGAATTTTTAATAAAAGAATTGTGATTGGGTCTTGATGGGTTTCATTTTGGAGGATCCTCGAGCAAATCATTCATATAAAAAATTATATTGATTCGATAATTAAATTTACATAATTAGATTTTATTTGTTTTTATAAAAAAAATATTAAATAGTTTATTCTAAAAAATTGAGCAGTCTGAATGGTTAATAAACAAATATAAAAGATATTCCCCCACCAAGTCCATTTCTTGAATATGTATATCTCCTTGTTATGAAAACTCTTCCATATAGTAGAAGTACTACAAATATTTATGTAATTTTCACCAATTTACTTGATGTCCAGTTAGCATTATGTTTGATTAATATATTTATTGATACGTTTACTAGTATTTTTTTGTTAGATTTGATTTACTAGTATTCTTCACATTAATATTTCGCCCTTTATGATCAAATGCGATGAAAATAATGTATACTTCTAAAAAAGAAAAATAAAAATATATGTGGTGTCGTCACATGGCAATTATATTTTAGAATTTTTTTTTTTGTTTCTTTTATCTTTAATCATTAAAAATAATGAGTTAATTATATAAAAGTTTTATTTACAAATGTTATGGTAGATCAAATTATATCTAAGATTTTTTAAACCAATAAGTCCTATTTAATAAAACTGAAAATATTA